GAAAAAGAAACATGAACTACAAGCTATGAAATATGGCCCATGGAACTCTTAAAAAATGGAAAGTGCTTAATGACCACGAAGCCAGGGACAAGCCCACATTGAGTCACCCCCCCGTGTACCCTGAAACCTACAGCTCAAAGGCAGCAACTGCACTCCTGTCAGGGTTTGGAGTGCTTACAAAGTGGGAGGCCCCCTTGGAAGTAAGAGAAACCCACTGAAAGGTGGCACGATGCACCCTGGAGACGCTAGGCTGGCGACAGCAGCTAAGGCGGCAGCGCGAGAGGCATGGCCCATCGCATGATGGCAAGACCCAGGTGGACACCCTCGTGGCGACACACACTGTTCACCGAGAAGGTTCTCTGCATAGGTCACCCCTAAATACGCCACTTTGGAATCCAAACTGTTCTGAGCCAAAGGCCGTGAGAAAAACTCTTCAAAACAAAGCCCTGCATTTCTTTGAGTAAGGAAAGTCTGGGTCTGTCAGGGAAAGGGTGTCCCAGGAACAGGTGCAAGGGCTACTAGCAGCTCTTTGAGCTGTAGAACAAACCTCACTGGACAAACCCTGCCCTGCCACGCTTGGTCATCCCATAACCGGCCTCCCCTGCCTACAAGCCCGCTTTGTTTCTGCTTAGTTCAAGACGCGATCTAAGCTCAAATCCTAACCACCCCTTGGGGTTGCTCACCAGAGAGTGGTGTGTGTGTGTGTGTGTGTGTGCACGCGCGTGTGAGCAAGGGCGGGTATGAAAAGCAATTTGCTAATCTCCTTTGTTGGCCTCAGCTATGGGGCCTCCCACACCAACCTAACACAGGTCCAGGAGAAAGACCCTCCCCCCACACCCACTCCGCTCTCCAACAATTGTGACTTTTTCTTATTTCACAGCTTGTCTGTGTCATGATTTAGCTAGCCAATTTCCTTCTCTTAGACATTTAAATTGTTTCTACTTTTGATTTAATACAGCAGTGTATCCAATTAGAACCAAGACTTAGTGCAGACTCTTCATTCATTTCCCCAAGAAAAACTCATCTTTGTGGGCCGAGTAGATCAAAATAAAAATATTTTGATGCTTCCAATTCACACTGGCAAATTGCCCACCAGAAAATCCTACTTAGCTTCATTTCTGTGGGCCATGAATAATGGCACCCTATTTCTACCACCGCCAATCCTGTATGCTTTCATTTTAAAAATGAAACAGGAAAAATGTATCTGTATTGGAATGAACATTTCTTGATGGGATAGTTGGGCCTGTGTCCACAGGTGGCCCTCAGAGGTGTTTCTTCTCTGTGAATTGTGCCTTTTAGGATCCTGGACCATGTTGATGTTAAAGTGCCTTCCTTTTCTGCTTATAAGAAACAATTTCATTTTAAGGACATTGCTCTTTGTCATACATCATGAGAATAATTCATCTCTTTGAGTATTTGCTTTTTTTATATTTTTAAGGTTCAAAATTTTTTAAAAGATTTATTTTATTTTTCTTGCAAAAGGCAAATATACAGAGAGGAGGAGAGACAGTGAGGAAGGTCTGTCCGCTGATTCACTCCCCAAGTGACTGCTACAGCTGGTGCTGCGCTGATCTGAAGCCAGGAGCCAGGAACTCCAGGTCTCCCACGCAGGTGCAGGGTCCCAAGGCTTTGGGCCATCTTCTACTGCTTTCCCAGGCCACAGGCAGTGAGCTGGATGGGAAGCGGGGACACTGGGATTAGAACTGCTGGTCATACGGGATCCTGGCTCATTCAAGGCAAGGACTTGAGCTTCTAGGCCACCGCACCAGACCCCAGGTTCAAACTTTTAAAGTTCACAGTGTTAGATTATGGATCCTGTGCTTGTTCATGCTTGCTGCCGTGGAATCATGGTTCTACAGGTATGAAGAGCAGAGTTAATGCGTCCAAAAAGAAACCCATGAACTGCTCTATGAGCTCAGAGACAGAAAACAAGACAGTGAGCATGTAGGTTCGACCAAGGCCGATGCAGGTTCAAATCTGGCCTTGGTCATGGCTGCAGGTAGCCTGCAGGGGAGCCACTTAGAACAAAGAAGCTACGTGCTAACTACTTCTCTGGGACAATATGTTCTTATCCAAAAAGACATGTGTCTCGTAAGCATCCGTTATCCCTTTAAAACAATTCTGTTTCAAAAAGCTGAATTTACCAATGTTTCATTCTTTACGAAGTTGTTAAAATAGAATGTGAACGAACCCTTCCTCACTCTGACAAGTACTATAAAAAGTTCAGTATGAATCCTCCCTTTTTCCATGCACGTATTAGTAATGATGTAACAGCATGATACAGTACGACAGCTCTGCAACACAGAATAATGCATGCCTCTATAAGAAAAGTTACAGCATGCCCAGATGTATTGTGTTGCAAATTACTCTTTTAAAAAAATGTCAGAGGGAGAGGGAAGATGAGAGAGAGAGAGAGCAAGAGAGGGATCTTGCTGGTTCACTCTCCAAGGGCTGTAACAGCCCCGGCCGGGCCAGGCTGAAACAAGGAGCCTGACACTCTGGCGGGGTCCCCTGAGTGACAGGTCCCTCAGCCCTTGGTCCCTTTGCTGCTGCCTTCTCAGGTGCATTAGCAGGAAGCTGGATCAGAAGTGGGGCAGCAGAAATTCAAACCAGCTTATATGGGATGCAGGTGTCACGGGCAGTGGGTTTAATCACGGGCCCTTTTCGATATGATTTGTCAAAAGTAACTTTTCATGTCCTATGGTTAGACTGACATTATTGTATTTTAATCATTATACAATATTTCTTAATATGAATGTCTTATAATTGTTTTCTGGCTGGACTATATCTTTATCTACATATCTATATGACTTATAAATTTGGTATTTCTTCCATAAAATGTTTCTTCAATAAACTGAAAAATTTATGTCATTTATAAATTCTAAAGATTTATTTATTTTATTATTATTTTTATTTTTTTTTTTATTGGAAAGGCGGATATACAGAGAGGAAAGACAGAGAGGAAGATCTTCCATCCGATGATTCACTCCCCAAGTGAGCGCAACGGCCGATGCTATGCCAATCCGAAGCCAGGAGCCTCTTCCGGGTCTCCCATGCAGGTGCAGGGTCCCAAAGCTTTGGGCCGTCCTCGACTGCTTTCCCAGGCCACAGGCAGGGAGCTGGAAGGGAAGCGGGGCTGCCGGGATTAGAACCGGCGCCCATATGGGATCCCGGGCGTGCAAGGCGAGGACCTTAACCACTGCGCCACTGCGCTGGGCCCCATCATTTATAAATTCTAAAAACATTTTAAAATTGAAGTTAGTTATATGTCCTGGGTATTAATAATTTGCATATATTATAGATATGTAATGTCTATATTTAAGTGTTTACTTAGTGTTACTCATTATCTCTTTGCCTATAAAGTTTACATTTTTACTTAGTTGTGTCCAAATTCTCCATACTATTTTAAGTGTTTACAGATTATTCATGCTATCTTGAACTATGTATAAATTTTACATGTTTTTACTTAGTCGTGTCCACATTTTCTGTATTACGTATTCTGGGTTGTGGTATATGTAACCAGATGTTTCATATAGAAAGATATGTATCTTCTATGTAGTCTCCTTCACATTGTTACAGTTTTTAAAATATTTATTTATTTTTATTGGAAAAGCAAATATATAGAGAGAAGGAGAAATAGAAAGATCTTCAGTGTGGTAATTCACTCCCCAAGTGGCCACAATGGCCAGAACTCAGCCAATCCAAAGCTAGGAGCCAGGAGCTTCTTTTGGGTCTCCCAGCGGGTACAGGACCATCCTCTACTGCTTTCCCAGGCCATGAGCAGGGAGCTGGGTGGGAAGTGGAGCAGCTGGGACATGAACTGACGCCTTTATGGGGTCCTAGCTCGTGCAAGGTGAGGATTTTAGCCACTGAGCCATCATGCTGAACCCTCACATTATTACAGTTCTTAACATTCAAAGTTTTAATCCAAATTTTGATGTTTTCTGTGGAAGATGTGAATTAGGGACTTAGTACACAACTGTGAAGTAAGTATTGTGCGTAGGCTTCCTTCTATCTAGTGATCATTATCCGTTGGTTTGATTTAACTGCATTTCCTGGGCAGCTTTCTGAGAGATCTAGCCGTATTTGTATCTAAAATTGAAAAAAAAAAAGCAATATACAGAACATTTATGATTTTTTCTTTCTATGTCCTAAGGAATCACAAAATTGAAAGTTCACTCCGGAAGCTATCACTGGTATTTCTGTTTCTCCTGTCGGGGTATTGCCGAGCTGCTGTTTTTGGGGTGTCCCCATCTCTGCATGCTTCTTCTTGATAAATCACCAGTTTTTTTTCTTTTCTTCTCTCAGTTCTTTTCTGTCTTATCACTTTTTTTTCCTGAACTGTCTATAATGTTCAACATCTTCAATGTTCCTGAATATTTTCCAATTGTTGCATAGTATTTCATTGTCTCTGTGCACCTCTGTTTTTAAATAGGTTTTTTAAACCGATGATTTCCCATAGAGTTATGAAATGTAAGTTAATCATAAGTTTGGAAGATTTCAGTATCTGCAGCTGAGATGTGATGTGTATGTCTTTCTCTTGCACAAGCAGTTTAGAGCATTAAAAACATCTTTTGGACAAAATCCATTTCCCGATATTTCCTGCGTGTGCATTTTCTGATATTTGTAATACAATAACCGACAGACATTTGTATTCTGTTACTCTCTTTGAACAACTATCCATCCTTAAAGGCAACGTAGTTGAGTACATGAAAGTTGGGCTGTGTGCTTGAACCGACCTCTCATTTGCAGACGGATGGGCCTCAGTGATTAGTTAGCCTCTCTTTGCTGGAAACAAAATCAATTTCTATATTCTCTTTTTTGGTTAAGATTAAATTGTAATTAGAAAACTCACAGTTATAAAAGCACCTGCATTGGCAAGGGAGAGCCTCAGAAGTGTTGGTTTGTTGAGTGTGCGTGCCTGTTTCGTGCTACGGTATAGGAGGAGACAAAGGGGCACGTGGTTAAGCTGGCAGGGTGGAGTCCGTCAGCCTGACTTCAGTCCCTTCTGCGAGAAGAGCTGAGCATCACAAGGTAACTGACTTCCAAGATGAGACTCCCATGTGAAACACTTGCTGGCTTTCTTCTGATGTTCAGCTTTGCTACTGAAGGTAAGCTGGTATGTGGGGTTTCGCTGCCAAGCTGGCTTCTCTGGAAACCCTGAAGTGATGTGGGGAGTGAAGTGTCACAGCCCAGCTTTGCATGGCAGGGGATCTCAAGGTCTCAGACACGGTCTTGCTTTTTTGTAGGTACCATCCCTAAGGATACCATCTGGGGTACCCTGGGTCACGACATCTACTTGAACATTTCGGAGTTCACAGGAAATAAGGCTATTGAGGAAATACAGTGGGCCACAAAAGAAGGCAGCATTATTGCACGACTCCGGGATAATAAGCGGGAGTACTTCCAGTTGAATGGAACTTATGAGATCTTTGAAAATGGAACTCTGAAAATCAAACGACTAATGAGAAATTTCAGCAATACCTACAAGGTGACTGTCTACAATACAGCTGGAGCACTTGAGTTGGAAAAATATTTTTATTTGGAGGTTCTAGGTAAGTCTTCATCCCTTAAATTTCTTCATTTCAGTCTGAATGCTATAGAGCATGTTGGAAAAGAATATCTATGAGATGTCCCCATCTGTGACAGCCAGCCTAAGGAGCCTTCAGGGACATCAATGCATCTGCCTCTGTCTTCCACAAGCAGACAGGTGTGTGTGTGTGTGTGTGTGTGTGTGTGTGTGTGTGTGTGTGGGTGTGTGTGGGTGTGTGCGTGTGTGTGCGTGTATGTATAGATTAGCAGATAGGGGTGAAATGCATGCATGTAGAAATGAACAACTGGTAGACCCACAAGTGCATCTGCCTACAGTTTTCTCTTTGGCTGACTATGGTGATCTGGAACTGGGTGACCAACCTGAACATGGAAGTACTACTCAGGTTGGGGAACAGGTGGGCAGAGAAGAAAGGTGACTGTGTCAGGTGGGAGTGGGGTGTGCGTGACTGGAGCCAGGGTGTCCGAGGGAGGCATGGCTGGAAAGACTTGGGCATCCTGAAACTCAGGATGAACAACCTTTGTGTCACATCTTCTCTACCTCGGAGGGTTCAGGTGGAAAAATACATGAGGCAGGGTTTGATGGCTCCCCATGGTCTGGAGGAGAGGAGTGGATGTTGAAGATGGAGTCAGGGAGAGTAATCAGAGGCTGCTGCTCTCCTCCAATGACAGGCAAGGGGCTTCTGGGAAACGCTTAGTTCTGAGGTGGGACAGTTGCATGCTGGAACCAACAGGGATAACTCGCATTTTAGATTCATTCAGGTTAGAATTTAGGACACGGGGCCTGGACCTTGGTAGGGTTTGATGCTCCTCTGGTGATTCAAGGGAGCAGGCCAAGTTGGCATCCAAGAGCCTAGACTGATGGGTGCCCATGAATAAGTGTGAACTGCCCATAGGGAAAGCATAGATAGGGTGGGTTTGGGCAGAGAAATAGGGAATAGGCAGTGGACCTGAAATGACAATGAAGTTGAAAGGTCAGGGGACACTGGGCAGAAGTCAGAGGCAGAAACGGCACCTGGCTTACACACAGAAAGGCAGGAAGCCCTGCCTGAGCCTAGGCAGCAACTTCATGTACACGCAAATATTTCCGTACTTCACACAGGATATGTCACTGGGGTAGAGCCCCTCCCCCCTCTTAGGGCCTATTTCAAACCCATTCTCAGCCCCCAGATCCAGCAGGAGCTCCACACTCCCACATGTTGCCAACTCCCCTGTTGGCGACCCCTTTCCCCACCCCAGGACTGTGACATTAGGTGCAGAACACCTTCCAGAAGTAAGATGGGGCCAGGAATGGTTCCTGAAGGGGGCTGCTCATCATGGACTCGGGAAACAGTGGAAGCCACGAGTCCAGCCAGCGAGGTTTATGTAGTTTCTCAGAACCTGGTACCCATGCTGAATTTCCCGGGTCCTGTGACATTTGGTCCCATGGTGGTGATAACGGCTGCTGGCTACGTGTTAGGTACTTGTACAGTGATCTCATCTAAAGCTTTCAGCAGTCTTGAGAGTAAGTTGTTGCTATTTTCCAATTGTGTGTTAGGCAACAGAGACCCAGCCAGAAGGTTTCATTATTTGTCAGGAGCAAAGTTCAAACCCAGGGAGCCCTGGGCAGGGGTAGTGACCTCCCCAGTTTCTTGGAGAAACAATTCATATGCCATATAGTTTGCTCTCTCAAAGTGTACAGTTCTGGATGAGTATTTGTCACGGTGGTTATGACACTGCTTTGGGTGCCAGCATTCCATGCCACAGCACCTGGGTTTGAGTTTAAGCTCCGCTTCAGATTCCAACATCTTGCTAATGCAGACTCCAGGAGGTAACAGATGATGGCTCTCATACTTGGGTCCTTGCCACCTGAATTGAAGACTTGAATCCCAGCTTCCTAGCTTGGACCTAGAAGAAATAAACAAGATGAAATTCAAATCTTCCCGCTCCCTTTAAAGTATGTTCAGAGTTGTAAGACCATTATCACCACCAGTTTAAGGTTGCGAAATCCACCATTATGAAACACTATTGTAATCAACATCTTAATTTCCTCCAAAAGTAACTCTACACCTCTTAGCCAAAGACAGTAGCCTCCCTGTTGTGAGAATATGTCATTGTCACACAGCATCTTCACTCACTATCACCACATGACGCTGGGACAATGCCTTGCCCGTTCTGAGTATGATACACTTCCTAATAACCTCAAGGGTTATCCAGTGAGACAACATATGCACAGGAGCCTGGCAGTACCTGGGATACAATACCTGCTCGCTCAGCATGCATGCCCTTTCTGTGTCGTTTCCCACACATCTGTGTTGCAGCTTGGGTCCCGGGACTCCCATGAGAGAGCCACTGAGGCGCAGGTGTTAGGGAAGGGACTAATTCCAGGCCCCCAGAGCCCAGGGCATCTCTCCTCCATGAGGTGACCATAACAATGTGACCCTGTTGATCAGGACCTCTTGCTTTTAGGAAGGCATCTTCCTGGGAAAAAGGTACAGACACTACTCCATGAAGTTGTTTGTGGCTATTTATTTATGTGAGTCTGGAATGGATTTAAAAGTCTTCTGCAGTTAGAAACGTACTAGCGTTTAGGATACATCTTTCAAAAGATGGCAGAGAGAGGCATTTACTGATGTCCATCATCAGAGAATTCCATAATTTTACAGTGAGGGGGAATAGGCAGGCTACAAAATCGTATCATCTAGCTTGCATTTTTAAAATATCATATGTTGATAGGTATATTCATGCACTGAAAAAGCCTGGCTAAAGACACACATCAAAATGCAGATGAGTGACTCTAAGTAATGGAAGTCCAGGGCATTGTTTTCTATTTTAAACTACTTTTAACATTCCATCAATTTTCTCATAATTGGATATTACTGCTGTAAAGAGATAAAAGAACATTTCCATGCTGTGGAGATAGGTGGCCACTACGAACCAACTGTTGGACTAAAGACAGCCACTGCTGCGGGTTGTTAATGGTTCTGCGTGTTCTTAATTGTGGGTCACTCAGAATCTCAGGACGGGAGGAAAATGGAATCCCTTCTGAATGGTGAGACAGGCATGAAGGTGGCTAAGAGAGAGAGAGGAGCAGTCCGGGAAAGATGAACTTCCCATCTCATGGACATCGAAGTAAAGGGTGGGTGGCCAGCAGCAAGGATGAGAAACAAAAGAAAAGGGAGACAGGCACACAGGGTCGGGGTGAGAGTAGGAGTCTCCCCACCAAGGCCAGGCTGTTTTCTTCCATGAAGGGGCTTTGAAATGTCATCATGTCAGACAAGGACAGGCAGAAGTGCACTACCATGAACAGAACAAGCAATGCCAGACCTGCTGTTTTCCTGGGGTATTGTCAGGTGTTATTCCTTTAGTGTCAGGGGGGGACATTTTCTTTATCTCCTCACTGCAGATGAGGGTCAGGGAGGCACAGTGAGTCGCCAAACAGCTCTGGGCCAGGGAAGGACAAAACCAGGCCTGTGGTTTCCAGGTTGCTGTCCTGGTTCTCCAGAATCTTAAACTCCTGAAGAGCCACCCACCAAATGCACCTGCTGGCCCTCAGCTCCCAGGACCCCAGCAGGACTGGGGGTGGCCAAGGTCTCAGCCCCAACGATTCCTCCAGGGAAGGTTTGCTCTCTGCCCCTGAAGTGCTGCCCCTCTCAAGTTTCTGAGGCAAGTGGACATCAGGACATGGTAACCCTCTTACTTTTCCCACCCATCTCTTGAACCTGGACCCAGAAGAGTGAGCTCCCGTTCTAATCTGTCATTTTATAATGGGTGTTGTAAGACCACACACCAAACCTCCCAGAGCCTTAGCATTTCATCTTAAACGCCAAGAAAAACAACTTGTTTGTGAGGATCAAATGATAGGTTGTCTGCTATGAGAGTAGAAACTAGGAAGAAGTTGTTCTTTTCAGACTCAGATAAAATTCAAGCCAGGAAATAACGAAGAGGGAGGGTCCGGGTTTACTTGAGATAAATAGTTTCAAGCACCTGTTAACGGCCCTAAGAGTCTTGCCGGTTGTGTGCATACACTACATGTTTTTGCACACCTGCACTAGGCACAGGTTTCTGTATCAAAGTTTGTCTTTAACATTTCTCAGATTCATTTATCTGAAAGACCATGTTACAGATAGGGACCTCTCTCATCTGTTGATTCATTCCCCCAAACAGCTGCAACTCTCCCGGCTCTGCCAGGCTGAAGTCAGGAACCTGGAGCTCTGTTTCAGTCTCCCATGTGGGTGGCCCGAGTCCAAGCACTTGGGCGTCCTTTGCTGCCTTCCTGGGTGCATCAGCTTGGAACTAGATCAAAACTGGAGTGGCTGGGATTCACACCTGCTGCCTTAAAAAAAAAAAACTTTTTAGTAAGATGACAACAACCTATGTAAGATGCTCCTGGAAGATGAACATTTGTTCAGCAGAGACACCTGCCCCACGAACTGAGACCAGTTTCTGCCTACTGTCTGCAGACCCACGAACTTTGTATTCCAGTGGCTCATGTAAATTTCTCCCTTTTTGCCTTTCAAACTTCCCTCCACCTTCTTGCAGCTGCTTGATGCTTACTACAGCACACATTTTCCCATTGCAGTGCTCTGCTTTTCCAAAGTACAAGTCCTTGTTCCTGGAGACTCTCTGATTGCTATTTAAGCTGACAACATGAAAACATTTTCAGATGCAAAATGTAACATTGGGTAGGACATGCTTTCGACTGGTATAACTCTGAAAATAACAGAAACACATTTGTTCTGTACAACCAAAGTAAAATAAAAGTCATCTTCAAAATTGGCTGCCTAGGGTCTTTGAAATTGTTCCTATGTCCTAGGCTACCTCTATTTTGCCTTCTGTGTCTATTAAAGCCGGAAAGCTGCCCCATGTGAATCGGATTTTTGTGTTCTTTTTAGAGGTGGTCTCCAAACCAAATCTCTTCTGGGACTGTAGCAATACAACATTGACCTGCGAGGTGGTGAGAGGAACTGACCCTCAGTTAATGTTGTATCTAAATGGAAAATATGTCACGAAACATGAGAAAATCATCACACACAAGTGGACCACTGATTCGAGTATTATGACGTTCAAGTGCAAGGCAACGAACCACGTCAGCGAGAAATACATTGAGGCTGTTGTCAACTGTGCAGGTACATGGCAGGATGCCTGTAGTTTACTCCTTAAGCACAACCTGCCAGACTTGCGGGAATGATGGCAGGTGGCACACCTGCTCCTGGCACAGGTGCCTGGGCTGGGAGGAGGCCGTGGCTCAGTGTGAGAGGTGGTGGTGACCCCTTTCTCCTGGAAACCTTCAGTGGACGAGGTAGTGCTCGTGGCTCCCCACACTGTCCCTAGTACGAATTGAAATGTCCGAGAAGGCAAGATGTACAGATGGTCTCATCCGGGTTACTAGTCCCCAGAGAAGGAGGCAGACTTTGCCCAAGGAGCCTCAGCTAGGGAGTGTCCCTGATTCCAGTTCTATCCTGAAAGATCCCTCTTTTGGAGGGGAGCTGGTCAGGGGCCAGTATCTTCTTTGAGGATGAGGGGTGGGAAGGTTGAAGGAACTTTATGAGGCAGGGGCTTAGGAAATGGAAAGACTTCGAGACCTGAAAGGCCCATGGACACAGCAAGGCAACACGCCCTGCTCCACAGCCCAGCAGCCGTACATCTCCTTTACCCTCCATGGCCTAGCTGGACATGAGCCCCAGAAGTAGTCATCGAGGGGAACCCCTTTCCTGCCTGGGGTCTGTCCTGGAAGCTGGAGGCCTGGACCTGAAGTTTGGGTGTGTCCACACAATGACCTGGACTGAGGGGCTTTCCCTTCTTTGGGCTTCATCTGCCTGGTTCATTGAAAAAGTAAACTGCAGGAGCTCAGAGGAGGAGGAGGAGGCCCTGGCATCCACTGCCAGCCTCCCTCATGTGGGCTTTTGGGCTGACTCACGGTGTAGCAATGAGCTTTCTAGAGAGGCACAGAACATATGTGTCTGAGCCGGAAGTGGTGGTCTTTTTATAGCTCAATCTTAAATGCCATGGCCTATGGCTTCTACTGTTCTTCTGTTTGTTGAAGCAAGTCAGAAAGCCCAGCCCCGTCTCAGAGCGAATGACACCCAGGCAGGAGCTCCAGGAGGTGAGGATAAGTGGGGGCCGCCTCTGGGTCTGCCAACCACAACCTTCCACCAGCTTTACCGCACCTGCTAGGCTTGCCTGCCACCCTCCCATGGCCTCTGGCTGCTAAGGCATCATGAGGGAGGCTGCCCCTCCCCCTCAGCCTCTGCCTTCCCTCTTTCCTTTTGAGGGGTTCCTTAACTAGAGTGTCCAGCCTTAGCACACACAAATACAGTCTGAGGTCATGGCAAAGACTGTATGCTAATGCTCGAGTGAGCATTGCTTAATTCAAATTCTTGTAGCTTCTCTGGCAACCCTACCTTGCTTAGGTCCATCCCACTAGATTACAGATGTGCTTGTGTTTGGGAGGGAAGGAGGACCGCAGGAAAAGGCCAAGTCTCTGGAGGCTGACATGGGACATGTCCCTCGGTCTGTGAGTTGGTCCAGCCACCAGCCACGGAGGAGGTGGGAAGGATGCCTGGGAGGAGGTTGGGAAGGATGAAATGTTCTTAAAGGCCCTCAAGGGCTTTGGAGGGTTCATTCTAAAAGGTCAAGACAGGGAGGGGCAATGGTCAGATTCTGACCCCTTGGTGCAGATATAAGGAGTGCACGTTGACCATGTGTCTCAGAGCAGGTGTGGGAAGAAGTGTGGCTGGATGGAGGCACACTGGGGACACATTTGTAAAAGATGTGGAACATCCCCCACCATGTGTACCATCAGGAGCTGCACTAGACAAACACCTCTATGCCCACATTCCTAAGTGTGCCCAATGGCAAGGATGTAGCTGCCCAGTCCCAAGATTTAGGCAATAGACAAGCCACAGGAGGCCCACCCCGGGCACCTGCTCTCCATCCTTGGCAGACCTGCCCTGCGCTGCCCTGCCTGGACTCAAATCTGGCAAGTCCACAGCTCAGCAGGAAATGGACCTGAGAAGCCCTGACCTGCTTCAAGCCAGTTGCAGCAGATTGTGGTTAAGCCAGCTTCCCTAAGCATCCCAGCCCTTCCTCTGCCTACCATGGAGGACTCGTGTAACCTACAGGCAGGCAGGCAGAGGGTGGGTCAGTGAGACGCTGCAGGAGCAGACCCTCATGGGTGGGCAGTCTGTTCAGGTAGGCTGTTGAGCCTCTGCAATTCTTGGCTGGGCTTTGAGCACTGCAGTCTTTTTCTAGGATGGCTGGCTTGGCTGCAGACATGTTTTTGTGATGCTGGGCAGAGCTCCAGCTTTGTTCCCCGGATGTACCCGTCCCCTGACCCTCGGCCAGCCACAGCTGCTGCCTCTCTAACTGCTATTGACTCACAAAGAGCAGATGGCCCAGGAGTCCTCGTGGGAAGCTGCTTCCAACAGCACGGGTGCCAAGTGGACCAGCAAGAACGAGATCTCGTGTGTGTGTGTGTGTAGCTTCACAGTTCACAAAGCACTGCTCACCATCCATTATCTGATTGTCTTCCAACAGCCGCCTTGTGATGTAGGTTCCGTTATCTCCATTGCACGAGGAAGGAAATAGGCTCAGAGAGGTGGAGTAACTTGCCAAAGGTTACACAGCGGTTGTTTGGCGGAGCCTGGACCCAAACCCACATTCCATTGACACTGAACTTATTGTTTTCCTTGTTGCATTGGCAGCAGCTGAAGTTCTGGGTACAGATAGCCCTGGCCATCGCTCTTGCTAATTCACTGTATGTCTGGGCTTCCCTCGTGGGTCCCTAGAAAATCTGGAAGGGGGCTGCTGTAGGCTGTGGCGTGCCTGGCCTCAGGTAGCTCATCTTGCACTCGAACTTTTCTCTAGATTGTCTCCAAACTCCTTCTCAGATCCCGAATCCCAAGCTGTTTCCCCGCTAGGGGTAGTAGTCAGGCTTCAGTGAATGCACAGACAAGCATTTCCTTCTAAGAAGGTATTTTCCCAGGTAGCCTTAAGAGGGGACTTTCCCTGGATCCTAGACTTTTCTGGAGATGGATGCCACTCCTTCACTGCCCCCTATAGGCATGAACTTGAGATTGCAAAGTCTCATCAAGCTCTTCCAGCTGCTTGCTGGGGAGGCAGGGGTCCTTGGCCTCTGTCCAGACTCCTGCCTCCAGCCCGTCTTCTCTTCTTGCAGGAAAGGGGCTGGGCATCTTCCTCATCGTGGGCATCTGCGTAGGAGGCCTCGTCTTGATAGTCTTTGTGGTGCTGCTCATTTGCTACATCAGCAAGAGGAAAAAACGGAACAGCAGGAGAAGTGGTGAGCCTCTCCCACACCTTTGGTCCCCCGTGGGCCCTGTGGAATCCCCGTGGAAACATCTCCTAAAGACGGTGCCTTGTGTGTGTAGGGACGGTGATGGAGATGGGTAGTTTCGGGAAGCCGGCACTGGGACCAGTGGTTGCAGCTTGTTCCATTTTGTGGTTAGCTTGATCTGTGAAAAAAACACATTGGTGACAATGTGGGTGTTTTGAGAAGTGTGATCCCAGTCTGGCTACTTGAGAAGCCACCACTTGAGTCTGGTGGTGAAAGGCAAGTATGGAGGCTTTTAAAAAAATGATTAGTTATTTATTTTTTGAGAGGCAGAGTTACAGAGAAAGAGAGATCTTCCATCTGCTGGTTCTCTCTTCAACTGGCTGCAATAGATGGTCTGAAGCTGGGAGCCAGGAACTCCTTCTGGGTCTCCCACGTGAGTGTAGGAGCCCAAAGCCTTCTACCATCACTCTGTTGCTTTTCCTGGCCATTAGCAGGTAACTGGATGGGAAGTGTTGCAGCTAGGATTTGAACCAATGTTCTTAAGGGATGCTGGCACCTCAGGCAGAAGCTTAGCTAGTTATGACACAGTACTGGCCCCAGGTGTGGAGACTTTAATGATGGTCTATGCGCATGGTGGCTATGGACAAGTGTCCTGTCTTTAGGTGACCCTGGGTGTGTTCAGTATCAAGCTCCTGGCAACACAGGTACAACCATGTCAGGAGTTCCCAGGAAATGGTTGTTCTAAAGCATCATGACTGTGCCCCTTTCCTACCCCCATTGTGTGGGAGGGATGTGAAAGGGCGAGGCATGGGCTTTCCACCAGTTGGGCCTGCCCAGCAACCCACCAAAACCAAAAGGAAAAGGTTAGGCTCCAAAATGGGGGGTGTTGGCTCAGGGAGCATCTGCGACACCTGAGGCAAAATACATCCAAGAAGGACACATCAGGTGTGGGCGTGGGTGCTGGGAAGTGTCTGCTGGGAGTGTGCCAGCAGGTGCCTGGGCTTTCGTGCATTCTCACATGTAACAGCAAGGCTGAGCTCGCTTGCTCCAGGCCTCTCCAGAGAGTAGGCTCTGGACACACTCACCAGCTACCATTGGCACTGCCCAACAGCCTGGTCTGATCTAGCCTCAGCATAGTGGCCTTGGGCTCTGTGTCCATTCAATTTAGTTTCCTTATTTCATGCTTCTTGCCTCAATTGCCTTCTTAGTCTCTACACCTCATCCCCCTGCCTCTAACCCCCACCATCCCCAACCCAAGCCGTAGGACACCTTTCTAAGCTTAGCACCAATCTTTTGCACCATCATTGCCTCCATATCCTCCACCCTAAAGGGGCAGCCTTGCTGGCTGAGTCCCAGGGTCTCCCAGCTCCCTCATGGCTATGCTAAGCTCAAGCTGTTCTCCAGCCTCATCCTTCAGCAAGACTCCTCCTGCTCATCACCTAACGCTCTAAGACCCATCATGTGTTTTTCCAAGGTAAATCTCCCATGTCGCCCTAAAAAAAGACAACACCTGCCATAATCACACTGACACAGTGCTTAGCTTGTGCCTCATTGCTTGTGCCTCACTTGAATTGCCTTTATGCTTTAGTATCCCATTCATGGTCTCATCTCACTTTCAGAGGCATTTTTGCAGGATGACATTAATACAGGTGAAGCAACTTGAACCCAGTGAGGCTAAATTATTTGCCCAAAATACAACTGGAAAGGCAGAGTCAGAGCCAGGAGGAGTCAAGGAGACAAGCAAGCAGAATTTAAGGAAGCCTTTACCTTCAACCCCACCCTGCCCTTGCATGATCCTGAGAACTCTTCTGAGTCTTACGCCTCAAGCCTCCCTTACCTCAGCCTGGTCCTGACCCCTAGTTATCGTTCCCCCTAGCAACAGCTCCGGCCTGGAAGATGAGGCACAAATTCTTGAAGAGCAAAATGGATAGACATGGTGGGTGGGGATCAGGATGAAGAAAGACTGGCACTGCCTCACAGCTAGGACCTGGGACCCAGCCCTGTATGATCATCTCTCAGGCTTCCCGGGCTCCACCCCAGCCACCCCAGGGCACTGGGATGGCACCCAGAATGTGCTCTGTTTTTCCTATGCCTTTCCGTTTGTGCGAAGAGCAGAGTACACTTGGCTGTCAGAGCCACAGGGCCTGATTTGAGTCATCACAGTCATGGCGCCTGAGATGTGCACCTGCAGAAGGAGCAGTAGGGTGGATGCCAGCAGCCTACAGTTACAGGGGCTACACTGTCCAAGACGCACAGTACCTGAAAGGTGTCAATGATTTCCCCCATGGGTGCCTTCTCTTCCTGCTTCCCCCTGCAGCCTTTGCAGGGATAGCCTTGGGCATGGGGACAGGAAAATCTAACTTGGGACTCAAAGGAGGTGAGATCAGCCAGTGAGAGGGTGGGGTGGGGAGAGCATGTGTCTGGCCACTGAGCACCCTAAGAGTTCCTTTGAGATTTTGAAACAGCACTGTGATAACTGTGTTTCTACTCATTTGTGGGTCTGTCTTCAAGGGCTGAGGTCATGCAGAGCAGAGCACACTGGTGGGTGAGGAGGAGGCATTCTTTCTCTCCCAAGCCTAGGAGGATGGGTAGTGACTTTCTGAGGAATGGGATAGTTTTTCAAGGGCTAAAGAGCCTGGCATTGTACCCCAACCTCTTACGAAGATGGGGTTCAACCTGGCAGCAGGCTTGGGTGGAAGGTAGAGCTGACAGAAAATGGAAGTCATGTGCCCTGAGACCAGCTGGAGCCATTGTCCCTGCATGCCCTGACTGTGAGGGCATAACCTGGGGTGGCACCTAGGACAAGGCCCCGGATCTGCTCCTGGAGCCCCAGGCACAAAGCCTCCTGGTGTGCCTGTGAGTGTGTGTGTGTGTGTGTGTGTGTGTGTGTGTGTGTGTGTGTGTGTCTGGTGGCTGGGTGCACAGATACACATGCACTTGCACATGTGTGTCCCCTGAGCTCTGCAAAGCCCTGGGCTCTCATTCTATCTTGTGGAAGGCATTTGCATCTCTCCTCCAAGACCTGGTGGGCTCGGATGGGAGGGCCAGCTTCTGCTTCCTTGCAGATCCCCCAGCGCAGCTGCCAGGACACCTTGCCAGGAGGCAGCCGCTGCTTATTCTGGTGTTTGCTTGTTGCAGGTGAGGAGTTGGAAATTAGAGCTCCGAGACCAGCAACCGAGGAGAGGGCCCGGAAACTCCCTCCACTTCCCACCTCCGCTCCTGCCAGTGCAGCGGCTTCACCACCTCCTCCACCTCCTGCTCACGGCTCGCAGGCACCTGGCCATCGCCCCCTACCTCCTGTCCACCGGGTCCAGCAGCAGAAGCAGAAGAGGCCGCCTCCATCAGGCACACAAGTTTACCAGCAGAGAGGCCCTCCCCTCCCCAGACCTCGAGTTCAACCGAAGCCTCCTCCTCATGGGGCTGTCGAAAACTCTAATTAGAAGAGCTGGACTCATCCTTGGCAGAAAAAGGCTCCGCGGATTTCTCCAACCCAGTGTGTGTGTCCATACCAGCACCGAGTACTTTCCACACATAGATGCTCTTGCCTTCTGAGGCTTGCAGGCCACGAGCCTCAGTGTTGGCCCTTCCTAGCACTGCTGTGCGTTCTGACATCTGGGGTTGTCGGTCTCCTGGGCAGACCCAGCTACACAAGGAAGGGACAGATTGTGAGGGAGAGAACTGAGGAGTTGGGGGCACTCCTGGGTTCCCTGCAGCCTGAGTGCAAGGCATGACAGGACAAGGGGCTGCTGGGCCTCCTGGGTGCCCTGACAGGGAACCTATGAGCTTGAGATCTTCTCTTGTGTGCCCTGGTGGACATTTGCCCACTTTTCCACGAGCAGAAGTGAAATAAATGCATTCATCTCATCCCATTGTCTGCTCACTGTAGAAAGGAGCCCAGTGCCCTGGAGAGAAAGCTGCTGACTGTGGAGGTGGTCCCTTGGTGATAGCAGTGGCAGATCTGGTCAGCCTGGCTCACTTGAGCCCCCTGAATCCCCATCAGAATGATTACAGTATGTGCCTCCCCCGCCCTGGCGCTCAGCTGCAAAACAGGGCTCAAAAACCTGTTTACAGGTTTGTGCAATGAATTGAAAGTGCTGCGTAGAAACCTCAAGAGGCCCCAGACAACGTCATCATCCTTTGGGCCTCACTTCCTTGACTGTTTATAATGATCCGTAGAGTTGTCCCTGGAAAGGGGAGAAAGGGGAGGTGAATATTGGAGGCGCCATAAGCCTGACAGATGACACGTGGCAAGGACTGCTAAGAGACAACTGTGTTGACGCAGACCCTTGCAAGTTATAAACGAGCAGGGCTGAAAACAGGTCAGATCCCATCTCTTGGGGGAAGTGGAGAAAACAGTTTTTCATTGAAGTTCTGAAACTACGGCACAGTGTGCAGGCATGTGCTTTGAAATGCTGGCATCATGCTTGTGGCCCCATCCACCTGCCTTCTCCAGGGCTTCTCAGACTCACTAAGCCTTGCTCAGCTCTGGCAGGAAGCTCTGGGGGCGAAACCACAAAGGACTCAGTATATTCAGGACTTCCTGTGAAAGCCTGCTAAGGGCTGCACTGGTTTTTTCCTTTGAATCTGAGAGTTTGTTGTGTTAGTATCCAGAGTCAGTCTGTAAGGATGGTGATGAAGGATATTCAGTCTCATGTCAGCTGGTTGGAGTCACCCCTTGGGGACAAGGAGGGCTCCTAAACACTGCCCCCTGTCTCACTCTTCACTGCATTCCTGAGTGACTTCACTGGCCACTAGGCCAGAACAGCCCCCATCCCATTCCCTTTGGGAAGCCTTTCCAAGCCTTCTCAGGCCCCACTCCGTTCTCTTACTCTGAAGTCCCACAGGACAGGATGCCTACCATTTGTAACCATTCAGTCTTTCATCATTCATTCAACAGGTGTTGCACTTCTGCTCCACAGAAGCCAGGTACCAGAGACATCGCTCCTTACTGGGCACTCATAACCTAGTTGGGCAGGGGCAGTCCAATTACAAAGGAAGAGAACCAATGCCATCAATCAGGTCCCACTGGTTCCCACTTCTAAAGAGTATGCCAATTGCAACAGTCGATGTTTAGGCATAACCCCATTTCTCAGGTGTTCAAATGTAAAAGCAAATGTATGCGGCAGACTTGATGAAATGCACAGTTCATCAGCTTATTGAGGACGATGACATTTTCTCAATGTTACCCATGGCGCTTCACTGCAGATATCGGCAGCCAATCGAGCATCTGTGAGTGCAGTCCGGGGAAAAGGAAGGGCAGGAAACACACAGAGCCCGTTTGTGCATAAGACACAGTGCCAACCTTGCTGACAGGACATGTCCTCCCATGGTGCGGCAGGAGACGGGCTGCTGTCATCCTCCATCAGGCACTGGGTGACCTCCCGCTGACCCTGTCTGAGTGGACAGGCCAGCTGCAAGACAAGAACTTGTAGAGCCTATTTAAAAAACAAGCAAATGCGTGGATGACTCAGTGGTTTGGGTCGGGGCCTGAGCAGCTGTGTTTTCAGTGATTAGGCTAGGTGATTCCAATGGGCGTCTGAATTGTAGAGCTGTGGGTCTATGGGTTCAAAAATTATTAATCATCCATGATTTGCCAGAATGGGAGACTTTGTAGATCCTGCAACATTATAAGAAAATAAAACAGTCATTAGCCAATTAACTATTCCTTAGCAGGAAACTCTCCAATGCAAGGAACCCAGGCAGGCTGGGATAAGTGGTTGAAGTGACTTGAATGTCCCAGGAGGTCCTATGGAGAAAGGACATTCAGTTTTTTTGATAGCCTAGCTGCTCTCCCTGTGGGTCATCTCAGCTCCATGGGGGCTGCAGTGTGAACTGGGCAAAGATCCCAGCCCTCTTCTTCCTCTCTTGATATCTCATATCAGGCTCCTTGGTTCTTGGTCCTGTGCTCCCTCGGCCATGCAGTCCCTCTGGCTTGCCAATATGCCCCCCCCCCGCCCCCTCCCAGGCCACTCACCCGCTGTGCCTGCTCCCCCCACTCCTCCCTGCCACATGCTTCTTTCATCTTTTGGGAGATTTCCTGGCTTTCAGATTCTAACATGAAGCTCCCAGGACTGGGACCTTCTTTGTGCTCAATTCTGGGATCCTCCAAGTCCACCAAAGCAGAAAGCTCAGAGTTTGTCCCTCCCAAGGACTTTGTAACTTTGAGTCATTTCTTCAGCCTCGATGGATGTTAGGTTCTTCTATCTGTAAAGTGGGAATAGCAGCTCCCAGGATCAGAGTGAGGATTAAATGGAAATAAGGTGTGTAGGTACGACTGGTATCCTTGCACAGACAACAGAGCGTTCTTGCATGGGAGACAAGAGGGAATATTGTGGAGAGCAGATACCATGCTGCACTGACGGGGAAGAGGCACAGCCCACCACAAACTCATAAATAAGCCCTCTCCATGGGGACTGAGTGTGTGTCAGCTTGATTCAGCAGCACCAGTCTCCTAACAGCTGGGACTCATGGGACAAATGGATAAAATCTTCTAGCAGGTGCATTAAACATTAGAGGACAGACCCATGAGAGTGCCTCACAGAGCCTGGGTTGAGCCAGCAGCTTATTTCCTGGCCCATTGGCAGGGCTGATTGGATAACATCTCTGGACATTGTTACATGAGACATCCCAGTGGCTTATTCACAGCACTGAGCGAAGGGTATTGGCATAATTTTGATCTTTGAAAATCTACTTCCTTCTACACCAAATAGCAGCTCTAGATTTATCAGCTGGTCAGAATTCACACAGGGGAAACACTCACAGCAAACATTGGGGAGTGGGTAGTGGCTTTGATGAGTTCAAGCAAACAGTTCACTTTGAGCTCTAAAGTGAACCAGCACAGCCGCAGCTACCAGACTGGGAAAGCCATGTGTTTATTGCAGGAGCTGTTTTTCGGGTAGGGTGGTGCTGGGGGAACAGTAGGCAAGGGGAATTTCCAGCTAATTTTTTAGAAGCTTGACTCATGCATTTGCTTTGTTTCTGCGAAAGTTACATTGAACTTAGTGAAGTAAAAGGCATAAGTGGTAGTAAGCACAAATGCAAAGGAGAAGTAACAATTGGGGAGTTTGACAGAGTAGTTAAAAAAATGACTAAGGAGTTTAAAGGAAATTCAGTGAATCCATGTTACCAGGAAATTTCCGTAGGTTCTTCCCTGAGCTTGGTATAGGAATAGAAACCCAGGAGTCAATTACAGATGAAGAAGTTTTACCTGCAAAGTGACCAGGTGAACATGAAAAGAAGAGGGAAGGGTGAGAGCTGGGAAGTGGGGTGCCTCTTTTTTTTTTTAAGTTTTTTTATTTGGAAAGTCAGATTTACAGAGAGAAGAAGAGACACAAAGAAAGATCTTCCATCTGTTGGCTAACTCCCCAAGTGGCCCAATGGCCAGAGCTGAGCTGATCCCTGAAGCCAGGAGCCAGGAGCTTCCTCCAGGTCCCCTACTCAGGTATAGGGTCTCAAGACTTTGGCCCATTCTCCATTGCTTTCCCAGGTAACAAGCAGGATGGGAAGTGGAGCAGCCAGGATATGAACTAGCACTCATATGGGATCTTCACAGATGCAAGGATTTAGCCACCAGGCTATCACGCAAGGCCAATGGGATGGTCTTGGGATTCTAGGCATTTTCTGACCCCGCCCCCCCGCCCCCTTGTCTGGGCAGGGACCTGCAGAGAAGATGTTCACCACTGCTGGTCTCTCAACCAGTTAGGAAATGGCTAGGCAATTCTTGTGCCATCCACTTGAAGGTGTGGCTAAGATTCAGTAGTCTGGGATGGTCTCAATCCTATGGTATCAATGAGGAAAACTGTGATCTGAAATGAGGCACTTCATTAAATCCTTAAAAACATTCAGGAATTGGTAGCACTAGATGCCCAGAGATGTAGGAAGGCTAATGTAGCTTGCGTGGAAAGATTGGTGAAAGCTCTGTGCAAGAAACAATTAGGTGGAAGATTCTATCCTCTTGCACATCAGTTACCGCCCAGCACAAGGCTACAGGTTACTCTCTGCAGAGAGCAAACCAAAAGCTGTCTGAGTCTACTTTAAAAGCAGAGGGATGGGGCCTGGCACAATAGCATAGGGGCTAAAGTCCTTGCCTTGCACGTGGGCCGGGATCCCACATGGGCACTGGTTCTAATCCCAGCAGCCCCGCTTCCCATCCAGCTCCCTGCTTATGGCCTGGGACTGCAGTTGAGGACAGCCCAAAGCCTTGGGATCCTGCTCCCACATGGGAGACCCAGGGGAGGCTCTGGGCTCCTGGCGTCAGATCAGCACAGCTTCGGCTCTGGCCATTGTGGTCACTTGGGGAGTGAACCAATGCACAGAGGAGCTTCCTCTCTGTCTCTCCTCCTTTCTGTATATCTAACTTTCTACTAAAAATAAGATAAATCTTAAAATTGAAAAAAAAAAAAAACCCAGCAGAGGGATGAGGGCCTGGTGCAATAACCTAGTAGCTAAAGTCCTCACACTGCATGCATCAGTGGGGATCCCATTTGGGCACTGGTTTGTGTCCTGGCTGCTCCACTTCCCTTCCAGCTCTTTGCTTGTGACTTGGGAAAGCAGTAGAGGATGGTCCAAAGTCTTGGGATCCTGCACCCACATGGGAGACCCGGAGGAAGCTTCTGGCTTCAGATTGGCTCAGCTCTGGCCATTGTGGCTGTTTGGGGAGTGGAGCAGCAGATGAAAGATCTTTCTTTGTAAGATCTTCCTTCTCTCTGTAAATTTGACTTTCCAATAAAAATAAACCAGTCTTAAAAAAAAAAAAAGAAAAAGAATTGCCCAATATTCAGTGAACCATCCCTTCCCCAGCCGGCTTGCACAAAAAGGCAGATTAATCATGATATGCTTCATGCAGGATAGTGAAAAAGACTTAATAGATTGAAAATGCTTATCAGCTCAAGAGGAAAGACCCAATGACCCTCACATCACTGGCTACCCAGTAAGATAACTCAGCTGAATTGCTCAAGGCCTGCTCTTCAGTTACTAGCCTCCCTTCTCACCCACAGAGATTCCAGTCGCTACTGCTCTGCTAGTAAACCTGAGTACAGTCAGAGTCCTCATCAGTGAGGGAGGCCTCTAAGGTGAGAGACAGGGATGCAAGCAACAGAAACATCAGAAACAAGGAAGGAAACATTCAGTCAGGACTCAACATTTAATGTTTCCAAAAGTAAGAGGAAAGATCGCACCGTTGAAAAAAGCACAGAGGGCCCGGCGTGGTGGCGCAAGTGGTTAAGTCCTCGCCTTGCAACCCCGGGATCCCATATGGGCGCCGGTTCTAATCCCGGCAGCCCCGCTTCCCTTCCAGCTCCCTGCTTGTGGCCTGGGAAAGCAGTGGAGGACGGCCCAAGGCTTTGGGAACCTGCACGCGTGCGGGAGACCCGGAAGAGGCTCCTGGCTTCGGATCGGCATAGTATCGGCCCGTCGCGCTCACTTGGGGAGTGAATCATCGGACGGAAGATCTTCCTCTCTCTCTCTCCTCTCTCTGTATATCTGCCTTTCCAATGAAAAAATAATAAAAAATAAATCTTTAAAAAAAAAAGAAAAAAGCACAGAAAAAAATATATATAAATATTCATGGGTTGGAATTTTGGCACAGTGGACTAAGCTGCTGCCTGCAATGCCAGCATTCCATATGGGCACTGGCTTGAGTACCAGCTTCTCTACTTCTGATCCAGTTCTCTGTTAGTGCACTCGGGAAAGCACTAGAAGTTGGCCAAAATATTTGGGTTCCTGCGCTCACGTGGGAGACGCCGATGGAGCTCCGAGTTCCTGGCTGCAGCCTGACCTCAGTCCAGCCGTTGCAACCATTTGAGTCAACCAGTGAATGGAAGGTTCTCTCTCCTCTCTCTCTCCCTGTAATTTTACCTTTCAAATACACATTTTAAAAAATTGAAAAAAAATGTTTAGAGAACCGAGTTTGTTATTGGAAATTGCAAATATAATAAAAACAGATCCAGTAGGTTCAAAATGTAAATAATAGGCATCCCAGAAGGAAAACAGTAGAAGCAGGAGTGAGTTTTGTTTGTTCAATAATTCTGGAAGTGTTCTGGAGAGGGAGGACACACATGTCCGGATTGAAGGTGCTTCCTAAGGACTTGTGGTCTGTGTTGTGGAAGTCACCCCCACTGTGTTACAGCAGGAGCAAAGCAGAAGAAACTGAAGTGTCCACAAGTCCTGTAAGGGCCACCGGAGAGACAGACCACTGGATCCTGAACTGGACGGGGCAGGAGTGCTGAACACAGATCTCCGTGGGAACTAGGACCAGTCCAGGGAAGAATTCCTGGAGGCTCAGCATGGACAAGGCTGAAAAACAAAGACTCCAGGGAGGGAGGCCTCGCCACCTGCCCCTGATGGTTTTGTGATTTTTTTTTTACTTCAGGAGCTTGAGCAGGTTCTCACGCTGAGGAGGAAGACGTTCACCCTCATGCTTGAGTTAAGTGGGGAAGACAGAAGCTGACCTCTGTGTGAGTATGGGGCCTTGGGAGATAGGATAGGAGCTGTTTACCTGGAAATGCGTGCAAAGCAGCCCAGCATTTTACACCACAAACTCCTCCCATACTGTCTCCCCTCTAAGCTCCATAACTTTGGAAGGTCCCATCTTCTCCCCCAAGAAAAGCACCCCATGAGCATTCTCTTCACCCAGGGGCAGCATATTATTCAGTCTGATAA